TAAAGCGATTCAAAAATCCAAGAAGAAAAATACAATTGATGCAAACTAATATTGAACCTTGAAAAATAAAATAAGAAGAAGTTAAAGAGAAAATATAAAAGCAAAAAGTAAAATTGATACCAATTATTCTATTGTCAATTAAAATAGAAAGGCCTTGTTGAAGAAGGACCAGTGCGGGCAGAGTGATCCGCGAACAACTCTCTTCCACGCAGTAATGGACTTCTCTTGCTATTCGTATTAATGCCTTGAAACATCAATACTTTGGAATTGCAGCGTTTTGTTGCAACTGAATAGTTAAGAACAGTTAGTATTGTCTATTTTATAGACATTTCGTGTTTGAGTGTGAATTTTCATAATAGAAATACTTTGCTATAATCATGCTGCAATATAACCATTCATGAGTTATATTAATAAAATAAACGTGCCGAGTTTTTACTAATTAAAAATAACTAATAACTTATTTAAATTACGAATCTTAAAATTCTAAACCAAGCCTCGGCATATGAAAAAAAAAAAATTCTGTAACGATATTCTCTCTATGAAAACATATTTATAAAATAAGTATATCTGTTTAGTGCCTACCGGAGACCATAAACAACGAATCAAGGTAAGTTTTAGAACCTACTAATATACATAGAGACAAAGCTCGTCAAGATGTAGCTAACATCGTAGAAATTATAAGTATAAACATGGGTTTCCACCGCTGAAACATTTACGTATATAAAATGTTGGTTACTAATATTCTCATCTCTACAATAACGGAGAGCTTGTACTATCTAAATATTTAGACGTACATACGTACTATTAAGAGAATTGAAACTATTTGGTTTGGCACGTGTTTTTCCATTACCTACAATAGCACTTGAAATCAAGAAGCATTTCTAACATTTGTATATAATTAAACAAAACCGAGGGACAGTTTTACGGCCAAAGAAGTGGAAAGTTTACCGTGAAAGAGCGTGAACGGGGTCCGTGCAAATTTAAACAGACAGACGGAATGCCTGGCTGGAGCTCGAGCAAGAGAATTCCATTTACCTGCCCTAAACATCTGCTTCTTAACTAAATATAATATAAACATATTTAATTTTTGGCTAAAAAATAATTTATATTTTAAAGTTAAAAACAAACCTAAATTAAGTCTAATAGCTGAATAGTCAGCGACACTACCTAAACAGAAACAGCCATCATATTTTATTTGTTAAAAATAAAATTCGTAATATTGGGCACATTATGGACAAGTATACAACTTAAATTTTTAAAAATTAAATATATAAAAGAGGTTTTAAATTCCAATAGAATTCGAAGCAAATAAAATACTCAACTAATATTATTGAGTATCACGAGCGAGTTAATTAACAGAACATGACTCTCTTAAATATAGTGTTATAAAATTTTAAAAGATAGAGTAAATAATTTCGTTTTACAATATACGCTACATGATTTTATACGTGAAGGTAAATGTTTAGCAGAACGGTTGATAAATATTTTCATTATAACATATTTATGATTAAAAGCGATATTAGCTAAGTACGCCTTCGGTATTTGTCTATCTTTGTCGTAAATGAAAATTATTTAAATTTACTTTCTGCTAACGGTAGATATCATATTTGCTGTTTACGTAAACCCGTAAAAAGAACAACATTCTCGTACTTTAAAAAGACTTACGACAAGATCAGTCTACCGCTCAATAGGACCAATGGGAATGTTTCCGATTGAATCAATTGATTGTATGGATTGAATCAGCCCAATAGTAAATAAAAACTCCTGTGGACCGGTTAATCGAGCACCGACAGAATTAGATATTATAAAATCCACATTTTACTTGTATCTTGGCATTGTTATATTACCGCAGTTCAATGCCTACATAACACGTCTGTTTTACAGTTTTCATGTCCCCGTCACTCGCTGGATACCTTTTAAACCAGAAAATGGATGGAATGGATGGAACACTGAAGTTATAAAAAGAAATACGACATTTCTCGTCTGTGTTTATTACTGTACATTAGTTATACTGCTTCCGTAGTGTCGTTTCGGCATGAAATGGGAACTAATGAGATTTTGATGTTTTTTTGACTGGGCTTTTATTTTTCTTGAGAACATAACGATGTTGCTTGCAACTTAGACTACACAGCTGGTATCATTTTTGTTTAATTTAATATAATATCATAATATTTATTGATTCTAATTAAACGTTAATAAAATATAGCTTTAAGCGCCTGTAGAAAAATTAGTCAGAAAAAATGATATCCATCATCCCTGTGGATACGAGTACAAAAGATTAATAATGACTTAAATATTTCATGATTTTTAATATAACAACGTGCGTAAGAAACGGGATTGTTACGATAGAGCTGTCTGAGGAGGTATGTACCATGATCATGGGTTGACTATCATTGCACGGTTGTTAACAGCTCAATCGTGGTAAGAATCCCGTTTCTTACGAATGTTTTTTCAAGATTAATAAATTACTAAGTCCTAAGCCAATTGAAAAGTTTGATGAAAACTAGTATTGGTGTTTTAAAGTTAAAAACCTTTTTAAAAAAATGAATACCGCATTATTTAATGAATTAATTATAAGCAGAAAATATCACGAGCACTCATTAATATGTAAAAACAAAACGTGTCAACACTAATTGTCAACTTACCCGTGAAAATTAATTTATTATTACTAAAACCATACTTAACAATGTTCAGTACTTTATTAATAATATAATAATAGTTTTCAGTATAATAAAAGTACGAATGTTGTGTAAAATCCATATCACAGCGTAGTGTTTTGGGTGAACTGAGAACAGAGTAATAAATTAAAAACTAACTCTTCTATGTAATATAGCAATTTATATTCAGCCGCGCACACTCGGCTTGCAGGCACTGTTCGTACATTCGCTAACTTTAAAATATCATCTTTGTCCTTACTAAACAGTTCACTGGCCAATGTATATACATCGCTGCTTCGTTCTTATCGATGTAAACGTATTGTTGAATAGACCTTTTGTAGTAATAAGACTACACCAAGATGGTGTGTAAGTTAACTGCATTTTTTTAAGAAGAATTAATTAGAAAAATTATAGGACGGCGTGGTTGCAACAAAGCCCTTTAACAACTAAATAAAAAAAATCTAACTTAAATTGGCTCGAGCAGAGCATATCCTTGTTACCGACGTGCCAAATTAAATGTGGAATTAAAAACGTACAATGTAATGATTTTGCTCTTTAATATATGCTGCCAGCTTCTAAATATATTTCTTTGAAGTCATATAGAGTTTTACCATCAAAAATTGAGCGAAAAAAAATTCGCATATCATGGTAAATATTTTTCATCCTACATTTAACATTTTGATATAGATACGTTATCGAACAGATACAGCAAAATTAACAATAAACACAAAATCCCTCTAGTATATTGGCAAGTACTGGCAGATATTTTGTTATATCTGACAGCTGTATTATGGAAAATTTCAATATGCGTCACATATTTATAGTAACCAAATCATAGGTGCAATAAAGTCACTTTACTTTTAAAAAACTATCTAGAATGTCTTTTCAAAATCAATTTACTTATTTCACATTTCGTAAAAATCAAGTTCTCGATAGTAAAAGGCCTGTCACATTTGAGATGTTATAAGACTTTTTATATTTTTCGACTACAACTGGCTTTATAAAACACTAGTTGTCGCCCGCGTCACCGTTCGCACGGAATTTTATAGAAAAACTTAATTAGTAGCCTGTGTTTTTTCAGGCTTTGTTTTACATTTATGCTAAACAGGCGTTCGGAGAGATACCTTTTAAAACATCCATCCATCCAAACATTCGAATTTATATTATTAGTAAGATTAAAAGTAAAGTTTGTTTTATGTTGATTTAAAGCGTTCTTACAATTTAATTAGTTTTTAAAACAAAGATATGCAAAATTACAGTTATTAAATAAGCCAAATCATATTTCAAGCTACTGAGTTAACAGATAATCAGTCCTGCGTAAAAAAATAACGGCGTAATGTTAAGCAACTGTTTGCAGAACACAAATATATCTGTGTTTAATTTCGTCGACGCTAAATAAATTCATTCCCGCTGTGCAACGCGGGGTGCGCGTAAATCTAAAGGGTCCTTTTCGTATATATTTTCCAGGGGAAACTAACGGATTATACTCCGCGCCCAGAATTTTGTATATTTTGCTCTTTGTCGTCGAGGAATATTGTATAGTGAGCTATTGTATGATATAACAAACATTTTTTCACCAAGTCGCTTTGAGTTAGTGTGCTTCTACGGAACGTTTTCAGTAAATGTATGCATTTACACCACTCAGAGATGTATGGGCTTTAATTTATTGCGTGCAGCAAACAGTTTATACCAACGGATAAACATTTGACAAGTAATTTAGAACTTTTTACAAAATGTTTCTGATTCTACTATTATGAATATTCGTAGTGTAACATATTTTTTTTAATATGGACTTTGCTTGAAATATAGTGATTTCTACAAGAGTAATTTGTTTCAATAAGACAAAAAAAAACTTATTAATACGCATTTATCTTTATACATTGGTCATCATACAAATCATCATAGAAATATATTAGGTATATAACTCATGTAAGAATGCATTTTTATAATTTACATTTAAAATATAATAGAATAAAGAAATTTGTTTTGTGTGAAAGGAACAAATTCATCCTTATGCAAGTCAGTGACCGTCTGCTTGCGACGCCCGCCGCGTGCTTTTCCAGGCCGCCAGTTATTGTTTTAAACATGAGATATTTGGGATATACCGTTGTATAGTTTGTAAAGACAACGTTTGTTCAAAAATAAATTTTAAAAAATATTCAACGTGGTTGACTATAACCTAATCACCCGTAATTTAGGGTAGGCTCCGAACCCCTCGGTGGGGACGTATGATGATGATAATTCAACGTGTCATTTTCTTGATCTAAATGGAAGAAACATTAAATACCATAGTTAATAATTTTAAGAATATACAATTTAAAATATAATAAAAATATTCATCTCTTTGTTTTCCATTTATTAAAAAACAAAATATTTTTATAGACTAGATAACATATTAAGTTTTTTACGTATAATTTTCACCTAGAAGTCATTACTTATAACTAGCTTCAGTCTTAATATTATAAATGCTTGCTAATTGTAATTAAGTATATAATTGTTCCATGTATCACAGCCACGGAAATCATTAAAAACTCATTCCTAACCTAATAATTTTAAACTATGTTAAGCCAATACAATACTGCCTCAATTTCAGTTATTTAAAACACTTTGTTGGCAATTTTGTTTCTTTTGATTCTTCTCTCAAGACATTTCTAGTACATCTCCATTCTTCTTCTTCCGTCTTCTTTCTTCAAACCATATTAGTATCATATCAGGTACCCACATTATTAAGAACATAACTAATAAAGCATTCTGTGCGGATATACATACGATGAAGCTACCCGTGTAATCTCTAATCCATCCTAGAAAGTATCCAGCAGGTGGGACTATCATACCCATGCTTAACATACCCAAACCCACTGCAGCTGGCACTTGATCCATCCTACAGTTTTCTGAGATAGCAATGTTTCGGGCAACAATAACCATACTTCTACCGAAACCGTATAAGCATGATAAAAGTAGTAGAACACCCAAGTCTGTTTGGTACGCCAATACTGAAATGAATAAAAGATAAAACTATAGTTTTTTTCATAAGAGAAGGGGGCAAAGGGGCAGCGGGAACACCGAGGTGATCAACATATCCCCTAGCAACACCAGAGGAACTGCAGATGCGTTGCCGGCCTTTCTCAGGTATAAAACTTTTCTCAACGGTTACATTTTATTTAACTTCAGAAATTAATCTCAATATCTGAGTGTTTTTGACATAATAATAATTTAATTAGAAAAGTATTTTAAGAAAGTACCCATATAAATAAAATGAAATTGAAATAACTTGGGTGATTCAAAGCAAAATATGTACTGTCAATCAACTATTCAAACATTCTTACAAAAACATATCGATATCTCTCTCATTCTTTCTGAAAAAATAGAGACAACAATATGTTTTCGTGCAGATACATCTACAGGGGAAACCCTGTTATCAACTTTATGCATTACCACTGAATTAAATATAATTCTGAGTTAAAATCCCCCCATTCGACTATTGCCGTGAACTATGTCCTAACACTAGATTTCTTAAGCTTAAAGAAATGTTAGTAAATTAACAAAAATTTACTAATATTTTAATAAAAAAAACCTTATTATAAATTTATTTTTTTGACACACTGTAATAGTTTTGGAGATAAGATATTGTTGTTTTGAAAATAACTACAGATGATAATTATGATAATAGTAACCTAATTATCATCGTTTTATAATCGTGTGTATTCTTGCTTTGCCGGATCTAATAATCTTAATATTTGTAACAAATTACGCAAACGTCAAATTATAACAAAGCAGTTATAACTATAATACATTTCTTAATAAACTGATGTATACTGTTTTCACGATATTATAATAAAATAGAGAGAAAAAGAGCGTCGGTGGCTCAGCGGTTTCAGCACTCGACTCGACTCAGGGGTCAAGCACTTGACTAGCCATCTGCAGGTCCTGGGTTCGAATTCCGCCATGTACCAATGTGTTTTTCGATTTTCATTTTACATATGTACATTAATTCGACGTTCTTACGGTGAAGGAAAACATCGTGATGCAAACTGCACATATCCGAGAAGAAATTCGAAGATATGTGTGAAGTCAACCAACCCGCACTTGGCCAGCGTTGTTGACTATGGCCTAGTCACCCTTAACTTAGGGTAGGCTCCGAGCCCTTCGGTGGGGACGTACAGTGAGCTGATGATGATGATAATAAAAAAGAAGTCAAATAAAATTCATTAGACTATTCAATGAATAGGTTTTCAAAATAATAAACCGATTTAAAAGCTTTTTTTTGCTGTTGGGACTATATTCCGCATATTATATATTTATAACTAAATCTCTTAATTCCGCGGCGATGAACTTTCACCTGCTATAAAGATCAGAAGTAACTTATAAAATGGATAAACAATTTCTAAATAACTTACCTTGTCTAACAACGATAAGCCAAACACTTGTCATAATAATCATCATTCTAGCTTTTATTCTATACTTGTCTTGGAATACGGGCAATGTTAATCTTCCAATGATATCGGCGATGGCAACAGCTGACATACAATTTGCAGTTTGCTGTTTGTCCAATGACGCCACTTTCTGCAATTAAATAGAAATTAAAATATCGTTCAGATAATATGAATCTGGGTAAATATTCCTTTTTTTGGCAACCATACTTATAAGTCCTTAAAGGATGAATTGGATCTCACATGGCGTTAAGTTATACAATTAAAAGCGGTTAAAATGTTGAATATAATTGTAATAATTTGATAACAAGATTTTATTTAAAATTGCGTCATTCCAAAAATAATATTGGATGTTGCTATGCGGTGCTTGTTACAAAAACTGACGCGGATATACGAGTATTTTATTTAATAATCCGATTTTTTATTAAAAAACCAAAACACCCGACTGTAACATCTCTTCATACGTCAAAATCAGATCAGTGGTAAACATAAAGAAGATAAATATATAAAACCCCGCATAAATAAATTTACATACGCGCGAAAAGCAAGTCCTGAGTCGGATACATATAGGATGTTACTATTTTGATCCTTAAGTTTGCATATCATTTATTTCACAGTAGCTAAAAGTTGGAAATGTACTTAACATTATTGTGATCGTAAAATAGAACTAATGTATGAGTGTCTATGTGTGTTTGCGTGTGTGTATATGAGTGTTTGAGTGTGTATGTGTGTGTGTTAAAGTATTCATCAAAGTAAAATTAAATACGAACCTGTAAAAAGAATGGGAATATAAGGCTAAAGTTTTGTATCGATGTCACTGTTAAAGCAGTTCCTATAATGATGTTAATGAATCGAGGACTCAGTAACAAGGACATGTCAAACAGTTCATATATCTTACGGAATATACTTTTATGTTGCTGTGTTGTTTTTGGTGTTGAGTTATTGCCTGAAAGTAAACTACATTCTTTTAGATAATCAAAGGCTAAAGGAAAAAAATAGTAATTATTGTCGCTTTTTCTTAATGAATAAATTTATTATTAAACGTATTATCGTACCATTCATTGCCAATCCTTTTTCATTGCTTGAAATCCGACTACCATTTTGATATATTGCTTCACCATTTATTTTATGGTCTTTATCAATTACAATATTTTTGTGTTTTTCTTCTAATAGATTTATTTTTTCATCAATAATAACCTCCTCTTCGACTTTTTTCATATGCCAAGCTACTGGCTGAATTAATAATGTTCCACCGATCTATAAACAGAAAAAAAATTAAATAAATTTCATTTTGATTATCCAAGATTAAGTGCTATATTACTAAATATATTACCCCATGTAAACTTAAGGATCCTAATAACATGCATGCTCCTCGGAATCCATAATTTTCTAAAAGATATCTAACAATATGCGGCATTACTGTTTGTCCTATGCCTGTACCGACGTTAGCTAAACCCACAGCTCTGCTTTTTCTTAATTTAAAGTAACTATTGATTGCCACAAATGAAGAATTTTGTATGAAGCCTAATCCTAAACCTAGAAAAAAATAAAATTGAATAAGAATGAAGTAACAAATGTAGAGGTAGGCCGAAAAAAGTATTAATGGATTGTATAAGAGAGGATATGTGTCAGAAGGGAGGGAATTCAGATGTAGCGGATGATAAGGAAAAGGTCAGGAAAATTATTAAAAACAATTAAGATGCAGTTAAATATTTAGAGTTCTCTTACCTAGTAAAATACCGTAACTAATTACTAAATGCCATATATTAGTTGAAAAGCCGCTTAGTAAAATACCCAGAGTACAGCTGCACGCTCCCAGCACAGCTACAAATCTAGTCGACGTTAATTTTACTATTGCCCCCGCAATGGGACCACCGAAATTTGTAGTAAATAACATAGTGCTTAGCACAACAGCAGCGCCTTTAGTATTGTGGCCCATTGCTTCTAACGCGTCTCCGTACAACAAACTGAATAGCGACAACATGGACTGATTGAATATCTGAAAACCGTTTTACAAATTAAATCTCTCTTAGTAGATTTACTACGAGGTATCTAAGCTAGGGATTTCCTTTTATTGTTCATTTGACTTTGAAAGATCACTTAATGCGCTTTTTTTTCAAATAACTTACAATTCCAACATAAATAGAAAGTATTTTATAAGATTGTACAAAGCATTTAAGACTATCAGAGACCTGTGGGAGAGGTCCTAAGAAAATACATTATTTATTTACGTCAACAGACAATAAACATACGTTAGATAGTGCTGCGCCGGCGACAACCATCCAGCCCCAACCCCCATCTGGTGGAACCAGTTTTAGTCTTTTCTCCACTCTGGGAACGGCCATCATTGAATTCCTATTTGACATTTTTATTTTCTAAGATTTTTCTCATAATATTGAGCGTAAGCAGGAAAGGTAATATCATTTAATTCCTGAGGTTTTTTATCTGTGAACAAATTAAAAAATAAATACCTAAGTCTTAAAGGTAATAAATTACTAACAATATAAATTGGTGACAATCAAATTACACAACTTCCTCGAATCAGTCACCTGTCCGGACAACTAAGTAGGGTTACGGTCGCTGTAATGGTGCCGAGTAATCACATGGACCGGTTTGAAATTGCATGACTTCTTAAGACAGAATAAAACTGTCTGTTTTTTGGCGACTTCTTAATCAAGGCGAGTGTATGGTCTATACTATCCCACAATGTTAACGGTTTTGTGGTACACTTTACGAAGAAACTATTACTCTTTCAAAGGCCTTATATTTCTAAATATTATTATATTTTTAACGCGATCTGTGCAATTATAATCTATTCAATAAAAGATAAAAAAAGATTTTTTTTTTCAATTAGTACAAGGCATTTAATCATTGAATAAAATCATCTTCAAATTCTCACAGTCGGACACGCTGTATAGTCTCTACCAGTTACAGTATGATGTCTACTGCTAATACCTTCGAGAAACACTTTCGATTTATAACAATGGATGACCAATTTCCATTAAAATAAATAGATGTAGTAATTCGACTTATAATCAGTGAAGACATTGACCTAAGAGATTGTTATTGACTACATAACTGAAATTTTTTGCGGGTCACTTGCATCATTCTTTATCATACAACGGTTAAAGTCCGATTGTATAAAAACTCTACATTCCGATATTGTGAGTTCGCCAAACTTATCGATGAAGAACGTAAACAAACAAGTGACGATGGAACTGTTTTTCTAGATATGCTTGACATAAATTTGAAAGCGAGTACTCGGTGATAAGGTTGTTATTCTTGATTGCGGTTTCTAAGAGGCCATCATATGTTTATATTGCGCATTTTAATATATCATACACAAATATTTCCTTATTTTTAAAACGATTGTATTATGAAGTTATCTGATGAAAAGTTTAGTTGATTGTAGTCATAAATATTAAAGTAAAAAAAAAGATTTAAGCAGCTTGTCAAAACTGTATTTAATATTATATTTAATTTGTACGTGCAATAATTATTTTTGACAATTGCTTTTAAACAAGTTAATTATTTATCAGACTATATGTAGATCACGCGTATAAATATAGAAACAAAGAAACAGAATTAATCATAATGAAAATTTACAAATTAATCGATTCATCTGTTTTTAAATGACAAAACCTAGATGTAATACCAAAGTAAACATTCAGGCTGGTTTTCTATGAGATTATGGTTAGCAACCTGCACTGGATAAACGTGGTTGGTTATCCTTAGCCTAGTCACCCCTAACTCCCTAATTTAGTATAGACTCCAAGCTCCTCAGTTGGGACGTATAGTGAGCTGATGATGATGGTATATTTCTCTTAAATCGAACAAGTTTCTATCTCTAGTATCCTCCTACTTAAAAACATGGTATTGTCACGTTGTCCCACGCTTGAGTTTTTTTAGTATAAGAATAGTGATGTTCAAGGTAACAATAATTTACTCCATTAATACCATGACGCGAACTCTGAAGATAATTTTTTGTTCCCATAACTTCTTACATTTCTTTATGCCTTTAGTGACAAGCATTATCAGATTATTGCCTAGCGGGCCTTATCAGATTTTAAATCTACGAATTTTTTATCAGTGATTTTCTTTTCGCAGGCGCAAATGTGATCTATTACCATGTTTGCTGTTAATTAATTTACTATGATATCAGAATTTAAATCGTGAATAGCTTATTATCACATAAATATCTTCCGCTGTACTTACCGTGGGTTTCTGATACCAAAGTCCCCGTTTAAAATCTATTGTTATATCTGTTTTGTCAAAGATACAGTTAAGTTTACAGGGATGACAATATGTTTTATACGGATATTTTGGTCTCAGAAACCAACGGTTAATATTTTCCATATTTGAGGCGAGTTTGTACGCTTAATATGCGTATTGCAGAAACGCAATCTTTCGTGGTATTGGATTAATTGGAAAGTTTAGTTTGAATTTAAATATACTATATTTTCTTATTATCCAGTTTTCAAACAATATTAATTATTTCAATATGACTGATTATCTTTTCAAAGCGCCTGATATGTTGAGATTACGAAGATTTTCGTTAGTAACTAGAGTTATACTATTCTTATCACGAATTTATCTATGGCTTATGTTTATCAGTGTTTGTATAATGTTAATTCACATTGAAATAATCTTAATCTACATATTAGACAACCTAACCTTTTCAAGACATTTTTTTTCCAATATTATAAATTAAACATCGACGATGAGTATTAATTAATAACAATGCAGGAATTTAATAGTTCATTATAATGATACATATTGAATTGCTTCGCCGATTGATAATATTATGATGAAACAGTCAACATATGTAGTACAGCGTATGACCCCAATATGAACATATAGTATAAGAAGTAGGTACGTACAGTACTTTATACCAATATATTTTTCCGCCTATATTAATAATGAAATATTATTCTACAAAAGTTTAATACGAATAAATCAATCAGCTTCAAAATAAATTAAATAAAGTTATAAAATAATCTATATGTACAATAGGAATTCCCAATAATGGAATGTATATTATAAAAATCTTACCTATAAGAATACATACGCATTGTAAACCAGTGTCTTGGATACAATAGGTGGTGGAATCACAACAACGATAACGCGTCCGGTTTCAATCACGTGTGATATTGAATCATCGACTTGTTTTATTTCGCACAATGCAGACGACCGCTCCTCACCGCAACACACCAGTCAATGAGGGTACGACCGAAATTATTTAGTAACTCCGATAACATTATATGTATTATTGGTTTTTGTTTTTTTATAACCATTGATCACGGGACGAACGGTAACTATAAGTCAAATATACACAGCTTGATATAATAGGGTTAAAAGTTAACATTATTATTCAAAATTTTGCAATAATCTTTGGATAAAGTCATAGAAACTGAGAGTGACTGATTTAATTCAGCCGAGTATGACGCATAGAATTATAGATTCGGAATACTACACACTGGACATACGAGCTCTGATATTCGACGTTCAGCTGAATATCTCTCGTCAGAATGTGTCTGTTGTCAGGCGAACATTGTTGTCTCACCGTTGTTAGCATTGACCACATATTGACGTTGTAACTGTAACTTCCACCTCCGTGTAGTGAATTGTGTCATTGACGTCACACCAATAATTTCACTAATTATTTGGCAATATATTAAAATAGAAATTGATAAGCAATCAAATTCTTTCTAATTGTTTTATAAAATCACGATCATGTTGCATGTTTGATTATTATATTTTAAAGCATATCATTGTCATCGGAGTAATATAAAACTAAAAAACGAATTTTTTGGAAGGAAGTTTCAGCAACAAATCTTACTTTTTCCCTTTAATTCAAAAGATATTTATATTTAGAATATAAATAACTAAGGTTTATGTTGTCATTATTATAATATATAGTAAAATGTCAACATGCGATGGAATCGATATCACAAGTGTTGTGTTAATCAACGGAATAAAGATGTATTTACTTTATCTAACATGCGCCAACAACACGGGCTTGCTGTAAAATTATGTGACATTTATCTGTTAGATTATTTTTAAACCTTCGTATCCCTTATTGATATGATATTTAGGAGATATGTTGAATATTGAATGTTCAATGTTTAGATTATTGCGACGGACGTAGTCTTATAAGGGTACATTCAGACAGATCGGGCGGAGAGTAGTAGAGCAGATTTTAAGATGCAAATAAAAATTTTAACGCGATTGAAACTCGAATTAATTTTACTATGCACCTCTTTTTACGAAATACGTAAAATATACGTGAATACTAAAATTAAACCTGCTTACAATCGTATAAATTTTAAGTTTATTTGAGGTAAAAATCGACTCCGCTCTCCGCACTGGCCTGTGTGAACGAATCCTAAGAATTTCGTGTTCTTTTCCACTAATTTACGGTTCCATATTATAAAGAAACATTCACATTCATTAAAAAACGTACTTAAAATATTTGTTCAGTTTATCAGATAATTATAAATATTGTTACAAATGCATGTATTGGCAATTAATTGCTATGTGATTGTGATCTAAGCGCATGTCTGAATTAAATTGATAAATTTTAATAAAGTGCTATATCGTCTGCAAAAGTATATGCGTTGAAGATGACTGAGGCAGATCTCAAGCATAATACGCACTGTTCGGGCTATAAGGAAAATGTCAGGAAATGATAACTACAACGCCTAAATATTATTTGAAACAATATAGGTTTTTTGACATCGCTACTTTATGTTATGTTGGATCATGGCTTCGCTAAAATGTTCATTATAAAAAGATACATACATTCATTAATACTCATCGGGTTTTATTAAGTCAAGTTAAACATGTTGAGGATATTAATAAGAGAGTTCTTAGATTAGCGGCAACATTTTCGTATAGCCTTGCGCATCCAGCTTCTTATTGAAATCGCTTGAAAGACATGGTAAATAATCATTCCGCGTTTGCATTTGAAAAATAAAAGCGAGCTGATCCTCTTGCGGTACTTTCATATAAGGCAATATTTTAAAAATATGGAGAAAATGTTCTAAAGAAAAATCGTTTCAGCTAAATAAATACCATTAGAGCAAAAGATTATTTTGAGTCAAGCTTCTTTTATGGTTTTATTTTGCAATATGCCATTGAAAATACAGACTTATGTTCTATTTAAAATTCAGTTCAAGTGACTATAGGATACTTGATTTATTGAATCTTAATAATATTGTAAATGTGAATGTTTTAATGGATGGATGGAATTTAGAAGGTATCTTTAGAACGGCTGAACTGTAGTTTTTATATTTTGTTTTAATTCCGCACAGACGGAATCGGGGCTGCAGGTTGTCATAAAATAAAAATTATATAGTTTTTGGTCTACTATGGTTCAATTTGCAAGGAAAATAATTAAAATGTGCATTACTTTTATCAGTATTGAAATCATAATATGTAAGCTATTTATAATATTTTATAAAAATTTATTGCCTCTAGCGAGGACAGTATGATAGTGATAGTGTCCGTATCTTTTTGATTTACACCAATATTTTTATAATTTTAAAAATGATCACGTTTTTGGTAAATGGTTATTGACTGATTTTTTTATTTAACCGCAAATGGAAATTAAGAGCTCGTGTACACACTTCACTATTAACATTTACCAATGCCAACGTTCTTTTACAACTGTTTGTATTTTACATAATTTCTTGTTTAACATACAGATGAAATAAATTAATTCTGTCTTTGTTGAGTTATTAATATTATAAATGCGAAAGTTTAGATGTATAAATGGAATTTAGAAGCCTACTGAATCTGGATAAAATTTGGAAAAACACATAGGCTAGATAGTATTTATTTTAATTTTGCCCAAAGAAGTCGCCATCATAGCTTGTAGATGGTTGGATTTTAAACTAGCTATCGCCCGCAACTCCTCCGCGCGGAATAAAAAAAGCAGTTCAGGAGATGCATTCAAACAAACATCCATCCATCTAAACATTCTTATTTATAATATTAGTAAGATCAACTTTGTGTAAACAAATGATGAATATAATGCATACGTTGTTGTGATTGTTGAAAACTTAAAGGGCAAATCCAGACTGTACGAATTACCTTGGTTTTATCTATGGATAAGGCATATCTGTATTACAAAACATTTACAGAAATAATTTTGAATTATAATATCAACGAGAGTCATGCTATTAACCTTTGAACGTTTCAGTTTCAACGTGTGTATACCTATTAATGTTTTGGATTATGCAGAATTTCCTCTAACAGATCGATAGCAAATACGAAGATATAGTGAGGCAATTTCGAAAAGTCGTTGCCCGATGGAAGGCATCGCAACGCAGCGGGTAGCGAGTTACTAAGAAAGGGATGTGCCCCGTGACAAGACCCAAATTAACGAGGGGCCTGGCATTCTTGAAATTTACATGGGGTATGAATACTACGCTCTAGGATTGTAACCGTTCTAGACTGGATTTACTGGCACGAATAGTTTCAGCATGCTCACACTTATGTTCCGTATAAGATACTGTAATTAAAGAAGACACGAACAAACTGCCGGCCTGTTCCTTATAAAGACCGCTGATGTTAATTCAACCGGCTTACCTCACTCAAACAATCGTTAAACTTGGAGATGAAATTAATTGCTAGTGTTGTATAATTGATTGTGATTAAAATTGTCTGTAACCATTTTTAGTCGTTCTTTCATTTTATATAATATGAATGTTACTTTAGGAATCACTTTGCCGTAAACATGTGTGGCATTCAACCCTCAAACATCAGATAAAAGACAAACCTTTACCCAAATGGCCATCTTCATTAAATAATACTTTTACTTCTATATAATAAATTCTCAATTCTTAATTAATCTTTCCATTTCAGCAAAGTATGACATAATAATCAGTAAAATACATTTAAAACTTAGTCCGCGTGGAAATTCTGCAAATATACTTTATACGATCGGATATGGCGGCGAAAATCGGAGAACTTAAATTAAAGTCTGTAAAGTTGTATCGGTTGTTTATCAGTAAATTTTCTGTTCCAGATGTGCACTCCGGTTATAGTAAAGGGAAGGCGCGTATTGCTGTAACGTATGGCCCCGCAGAGCGCTTAGCACGGAATTCGATTCGACTAATGCTGCCTAATCCTGACCGGCAGCGCACAAATGGCAATGCGCGCATTCCAGAAGGCCATATGAGATTCGCTCCCGGAGATTGATGGTAATCCTCGACATATTTGCACTAGAAACAAAACAATGCACTCACAGTTGTTTGTGTCAACGTTTTAGGGGACTGTGATTAGATTTTGCGTCTTTCAATTTCACTTGAAGTTCGCATGTTCCAAAAAAGCAAATGGTCTAGTTGTAAATACTTCGAGGTTGGTCTGGTCAGCCTTTTTAACTGACTTCAAAAAGAAGGAGGTTGTCGATTCGTCCGTACTTTTTTATGCGTGTTGCCGCGTAATGCCGCCCCTGGTGCTCCGATTTTGAATTTTTTTTTATTTGATCGAAAGGTTTTGGTTGCTGGTGGGTCCCATTTATGTTTCTACTTATATCACATCTGTTGCTAGCTCGTTAATTTTATAATTTGTTTACAATCGTATTTGATATCTAAGTATAAACTTTGAGCGATATTTCCTAATCTCTGTTAATGACCGTTATGACGCGAATTCTAAAAAACATTGATAATGTTTTTAATTTATATTAGAGTATGTTAACTGGACTGCTTTATTCATATCAATAAGGTATGTTGCAATAGAATAGATTTGTATCAATAGATATCTTATACTTTACAAAAGAAGTACGAAGAAAAACTCATTCGTTTTTATAATATTTGTTATGGCATTCCCAGTGAAGATTGTTTCCTTTACTAGAATGTTCTGTTGTGTTGTGCTTCGAGTACGCGAGAAAATGTTATAATATTTACATTCGATTATATAGTTCCTCTTCAAAGATATTTATTATTTTTACATACATACTTCTTCTTACGTTATTCTATTCTTTGATACTACTAAAGCTCGTTTCAATGATTTTTTGTCGACTTATTTTAGCGATTGTTATAAGAGTTAATACCTTGTTTTGCAGGTTATCGGTTCAATTAAGGCCCTTCGAACACAACGTAAATTAATGCCATGCAAAAATAATATGCCATCCTTGCGTCGCGAGCATCACTTTGCGCGCGCTGAACACATAACGACGAATCATCGACGCGAGTCATTTATTCGGTCAAGTACAGGCATA